TTGTCAACTGAAGGATTGAAAAATCATGGAGAGTAGTATTTATGAACCATCTTTGATAACTATGAATAATAAGGTACATAGGTTATAACACATGATATGAAAAGAAAAAAATAGTGTGTGACTGTGAAACTAAGAGAAAAAGAAAGCTGATCATAGATATGGATGAAAGTGAACTGAACTTCTGGAGTGAAATTAATGAATTTTTATTTTATTATTTTATTGAGTTATCATATTTTAAAACTACCCATCTCTCTCATAAAAGGACTCTGGGTAGTGTACAAATAAAATATTAAAATATATAAACAGTATATAAAATTTAAAATTTAGAAAGCTGAGGATGAATTAAAAATCAGTGTTAAAAGTCAAGTAATTAAAAGGCAAAGGGGGGGGGGGCTTTCAGGTTCCTAACCAGCCCAATGGCTCCATGCTCCTCTATGAGGCCTGAGCAAGGTCACAGAGCCATGTTTTAACACTTTTCCAAAAGGCCAGGAGAGTGGGGCCTGCCTTACCTCTGGGCTCAATAGGTTGGGGGCAACAACACAAAGTTTCTCTTCCTGGACAATTCAGAATTATTTAACCAATGGGGGTGCGCAACATACCTTCCCTGCCTGAGCTGGTGAGATGGGCAGATGGGATGGGGTGAAGATGGTTCCATAGGTTACCTGTATGTAGGGTTCTAAAATCTTATCCAATACTTTGAATTGGACCTAGAATATATTCAGAAAAAAGAAGGTATAGTTTTAATAAAGAGAAAAAATATTCAGTGTAGGTCTAAAAGTAGGAATTTGTATTTCCTAGAGCCGAAACTGCTTCCGGGATGAGAAGTGAAACATCTTCAAAGAAAAAACCAGAAAGTCCATTTGCCTCTTGGAAAAGCATCTTTGGGTATTATCTAGATTGTTCAAGCTATATATGAAACTAGCTATCCATAGTTTGGTGACAATTGCATACTAGAATAACCAGAGATTAATTCTGGAAAAATCTGTGCAACGTTTTATTTTATTGATTTATTACATTTTTATGCTGCCCATCTCACTGTCAAGTGACTTTGGGCAGCAACATTCTGAGTGAAAGAGATCAGAGAAACAATATGTACTTAAAAGGAATGTAGTGAGAGAATACAGAAAAAATTATTGAATGACAATGCAATGTTTGTTTAAAACAAGGCTCCCAAACATTTATTATATGGAAATAATTTAATACTACTTTAATAGTACTATGAATAATAATAGTAGCAACAATAATATTAGATAGTCCTTTTGATCCTTGGGGGTTGATATTGTCCGCTTTTAGGTTTAGACTGAAGTCTGTTTCTTTTGAATATATGACCTAGAGTCTTTAGACTCTGGAATACAGATCACAACAATCCCTTCTATTCCATTACTTGTGCCTGCTGCCATAGACAGATACCTTGTTCTAATTGGCATCAGTGTTGTCTTCAATAACGTGTCCATGCCAGCTAAATTGCATCTGAGTAAACTAATTTTAGAATCCTGATTTGAAGTGCCTTCATTTAATAATGCCAGACAAAAGCATGATAGTACTTTAGTCATTAGAAAACAGTGCCCACTTGAAATTGCTGTCTGTAGAAAAGTAAGAGAAGGTTAAATTGATTGCTTTAGTCAAAGAAAAGATCGTATCTAATTTTGTTTCCATTTGGAAACCACTTCTGGTTTCCAAAAAAAATCAAATTTTGGTTTTGGTTTTGCTGATTAGATAGATTTGTTGGTAGAGAAATCACTACCCTATGTTATTGTGCAAAAGTAAAAGGGTTGAGGCTGTGATGTTATTATCTTCTACTGTGCTAAAAAGAGTCTGGAGTCAATGTCTTTTTTCTCTTTTTCCCTTTCTACCCCACACTTTTCCCTTTTCCCTTTTTCCTCCCCTAGTTTCCCATTATTTTCATTTTCTTTGTATTTTATATTCTGATAAGCTAATAAACTTTTTTTAAAAAATTAAAATGTTTCCTGCCTCTTTTCCAGTCACTGGTTAGTGTTAGAAAAACAGGGTAAATAGTATTGTAATTCTGTAATAACTAGCGGGATTTAGGTCTGTATCACATTTCAACATCTCGGGAACAATATGAATATTGTGGGCATAGCAAAACAAAACAATCCTGAGGAGGAGGAGGAGAAATTACATTAATATGTAAGACCTTGAGTTTGATTTTAAATTCTAGCACTCCCCTCCCAAGTAATCTTTGTACCCTGCACCTATGTTAACTTTAAGCTTGACAGCTGTAGTAAAACCTTAAATTGACTCTTTTTTAAAAACTCAGGTTATTATAATTCATTAAGACTAATGAACTGCTTGCAGAATCTGCTAATTTTGTTGAGTCCTATTTTGCTGCTCCTTTTAAAGTCAGAAAGATTTTTCCCACCTGGGATTATGCAATTTCAACATAAGATTACCTTTACTGCTCAGTAAGAAGCTAATCTTACTCAGAAATCTGAAACATATGAAATACAGTCTGTGCTGCTCTGTCTTATCTGTGCATTAATTCCTTGTGTTGAATACCCATTTTAATTTTTGTTTTAATTATGGAATGTACAGCAGGTGGGGACAGCATTCATCAAGCCTTTTGGTTGTAAAATATCCTTGCACAACTCTGTGGAGTTGGAAGAAGGCTTGCCTTAATAATACCGAAGCTATGAATTAAGAGTTCAGGTCATACTCACTGTCTGTTCCTTTGTTTAACATGCTCTTCTTGCCTCCGAGCAAAAGAAAGATAAGGAAAGAATTGTCATTCAGTGAAATGTGGAAGACTAGTTAAGAAACCTTTTTCTAAGCAGAAAATCATTTCCAGTGGATAAAATAGTGTTCTCCATTATTCTACAGCACAGCTAAGAATGCCAGAGCAACAGCCTTAGAAATCTAAGGAATGCAGAGAAGGAACAAACTATAATCAGTTTAATAAATATGATCTTCTGAGTATTCTGAATGGGAACATACATGTTCCAGTATCCAGTCAGCCAGATCTTCATTTACGTTTATTTCTGAAGCATTTGTACTAGTGAAGAAAAAAACTGCTTTTAAAAAGAAAATTGTATCCACTTATTCTCTGAAGTCGAAAAGATACAATGGAACAGTAGATGAAACTGCAGCTGTGTACCTGAATGCCTTCTCTACAGTACTTTCACAATCTCTTCTTTCAATTAAATTTGTTCCTCTTTTTCTTTCCTTCAGTAATAGAATCCTTCGAATTAATACAAAATGTCCTACCTGAGACAAATATATACCAGTCCATTCAGTATCCAGAAGAGTTCAACAGAGCAGCTTGGTGAATTACACTTGGATTTTCTGGAGTTCAATTACATCCATTTCAGGGATTCTTGCTGAATCAATGGTGATGCTTTAGAAATCCTTCCTTTTATTTCCTGTTTTTATTCCTACTATTTTCTTTTACAATAACTGTTCCATGTAAATTGCTTTTTGCTAAAATTTAGATTTCAAGCAGGCTGCAGAAATTGTGGGAAATTAGAGTTTTGTTAAGCAGATTTCTCTTTCCTGGTTCCTTCAAAATGCTGTGGGAAAGTCAATTAGAAACAAACTAAACATTCGGGAAAGAATTTTCAAAAAATGCCTCCTAAGTGGCCTTGGGAAATGGCTAACAGAAGAGGAAAAGGAAATGTATGAGTTGAATTGTCTTTCTGGTAAGATAGACTATCCTATCCACTTCTTTTATATTAAAAAATAAAACAGATTCATCATTGAAACTATTCTATTGCATCTTAACTATGTATTTGTTTTTATTTTTCTCATAGGAAGATAATACGTCAACTCACAATTAAAGTTGAAAGTTTGTTTTTGTAGTGGCCACTCACATATTTTATCTGAAGAAACATAGGTAAAAAATGGGCTTATTTGGCTTATCATGTGGCTTTCTTGGTTTGGCTGGGTGACACACCATTCTAGGTCTGTTAACCCAGCTAGTAGTAATCTTGTTTTTCTTACTAATGTAAAAAAAAAAGGGGGGGGGGTTAGAATTATCTCTGAACTAATTGGTTTTTGAAATATTTTGCATTCTGTTTTAATGAAGAAAAAAAGGAAGGAAGGAAGGAAGAAAAAGAAAGAAAAAGAGAGAAAGAGAAAGAGAAAGAAAGAAAGAAAGAAAGAAAGAAAGAAAGAAAGAAAGAAAGAAAGAAAGAAGAAAAAGGAAAGACAGCTTGCTTGCACAAAATTGTTTTTCAGAAATGAGCATTTTAGGAGAGAGGCACTGGTTCTGCTACATAATTTTATATCTTGGATTTAATTATAGGTTTTTTTTTGTTTTTTTTTTTGCTGGGAGGGAAGACAGAGCCTTCAGTTATGTACATAACAATTTTTCCCTCTCCGTCTGCACCAATCCATGACATATGTATATTTTCATATTACTATTTTTTGGGGGGATGGGGAGTGGGCATGCTGTTTGCCAGTTCTGATGCTGTTACACAGCTTTTAGAAATATTTTTTGAGTATCTGAGAACAGACAGCAGAAGTTCCCAAACAAGCCAGGAGAACAATCAATCATTTTATAACCACTTCATTAAAACCTTTTCTGCAAGGGTAGACCCATCCACATTCCCATACAGAATGCATACACCCAAAATATTGAAAAGAAGACAGAAAGAGATAAAGAGAAAATGCCCTCTTCCTCTACTGGCCAGGTGGATGAAAGGGAATTGGAAGATTTCAAATAATTCTTTGTGGGAGAAACTCAGCTTTTCCAGCACCATGCTTGCATCTTTTATAGCCTACACAGGTCATGGTATCTGTGCTGATTCTCACAATAGGATTTCACATTTGTCTGGGTTTCAGACCTTCCCTTCCCTTCCCTTTTCTTTCTTTCTTTCTTTCTTTCTTTCTTTCTTTCTTTCTTTCTTTCTTTCTTCTTTCTTTTCTTTCTTTCTTTCTTTTTTCTTTCTTTCTCTCTCTCTCTCTCTCTCTCTCTCTCTCTCTCTCTCTCTCTCTCTCTCTCTCTCTTTCGTTCTTTCTTTCTTTTTTTCTTTTCTTTCTTTGAGGTGTCTGTTTTCTTCTCCAGGAAATAAAGCCCTTGTTTACTCGTACCTGTCATTAAATAATGAAAGAGAGATGTTGAGTTTGTTTGCATTTATCAGTTCTTAATGCTCCCAGTTGATGCTTTAATCTATATTCTTCAGCTTTCTTTCCTCTTGTTCACCCTCCCCACCCTTTCCCCCATTTTTTCCTAGTCAGCAAGTAATGGGAGGATACACTTAAAGCATGATAGGATTCAGAGAGAATATAACAGAAGGATACATATAGAGTATGCATTACTCTAGAGACTTTATTGAACCCACACACACACATAGAATACAAATCATGCACAGTATTGCATGCCAATGTGGTGTGGTATATTACTCTTGAGGCTGTACAATTTCATTTTTTAAACTCAGTTAAACTATAGCACCATAAAGATTGTAAAGTTAAAACAAAATTTTGCTTTTTTACTTTATGCTTTATGCCCATTTACTTGGAAAACATCCTTTTTAAAGTAATAATGATTAGATAGGAATATGCAATCACATTTACAAGCAACAACATGTTGATCAAAATATGAAACTATGGTATTGAAAGCCATATCAACTTTGTTCAGAGCCAACTCCTGAACAAACACCTGACTTGTTCACACTGTCTTCATCACATAATTTAAATCAGGGTTTTCCAAAGTGGCCAACATTGACCCGCAAGGGACAATGAGACCTATTCAAATAATCCATTACTATTTGTACTATATCTTTTAAATTATTTTCATATATTTTCATATTTTCAAATATTTGGGGTCAGTCTGAAACATCATGAAGAAGTTGATGAGCTAAAGAGTTTGAAGATCCCTGCTTTAAAACCTTGGGGTTTTATAAATAAGGAGCTTGATTCTGCTTCATTCTGTAGTAGCCAATCTTTGTTACTGTTATTATTATTTTTTTAAATTGGTTTGGCAATAAAAGCAACTTATTTAGGCCAAGCCCTTAACTCTGCTGCTACAATAGGTTTAAGTTTATAGAGAAAGATTTATTACTGAACCCTGCATGATACTTTGATACTTCTGGGCTATGAAAATTGGACTTCAGTCCAAGACTCAATCTGTGGCTACACCGTTGTAGAAAGGAGACAAGATAATATTTTTGATCTTACCAACTTTAAGATTCGGATATCATCTTCAGCAATGCTGGTTAGAAGAAAAAAAATGGGAGCCATTTGTAAAAGCTAAGTGGCTAGCAAATAAAGGTGATGGATGAAATTGCCTTCAGCAGGGAAAGATGTTTGGTGGCCATGACTGACAATCTGTGATTCTGCAGTCATATTTATAACTGAGTAAATTATTTAATTTATCATCAATAGATTACCACAATCTGATCATGCTTCATAAACTGTTACTACACATAACTAATGGGTAAGCATGAGCTTTTTACTCTATAATATCAGTGGTTATTTTTTCATTGTTTTTAACATATTTAAACTTTGCTCTTCTATTATTTTTTTTTCTTATAAACAGTTACCAGAAAAGTGTGAACTGCCTAGGGAACCTTCAACCTGTAAATCTGTATATTGCTAACCTAAAACAAAGCAAGTGAATATCTTGGATCTACCAAGAAGCAACTTCAGTCATTACCATACTGCAGCCTTAAAATTTGCCACTTGTTGAAGCAGTCCCATATTTTTGCCATCACAAAGATTCTCACTAATACCGAAATCTTTGCTGCACCATTCAATCTGCTGACAATACATTCAACAGAACCCCCAGGGACAGCGGAAGTCAAACATTTCTAGGATCTGTACTGGTTTAATAATGAAACTCCCTTATACATCAGATGATTTTATTCTGCTCAAATCTCAGCACTGGAATTAGACACAGTTGTTGGAAATAAATCCATTCTTACATTTACAGGCAAAAATGTTTTAGTACTACTGTGAATGATAAATAGCTGTGATGTTCTGCAGCTGCTGAAGTATGTGAATTACTGTCAAAGATTAAACTTAGATCTCAGGCTGAGTAGGATCAGAAGGGATTAGTAGTATTTGAAATATGGAATTATATCATAATTGGGTAAACACAAAAATACACAAAAAACTGTCTTCTGCAAACATTATCCACATTACAGTATCTAGACTAAACAACTAGTCTTCTTGGAAAATACAGATTTAACAACAGTATAACCTTATAGTTATTGCTACATTGAAGATGTACTAGAGTACCATTTAAAAAAAAGTTTTACATGTTTTATCTATGAATGACATAGCCCTTTGGCATTTATACTAAAAGTAAAGAGAAAAATTCTGGACCAATATAGTTGTGTGTGTATAATAACACTAAGTAATGATCAAAATACTGTAATGTGAAGCTACCTTTCCATCAATTTTCATAATCTTTTTGACATGCATTTAGCATGGAAAACACTATAAAGTGCACAAAACTCTCAGCACCACAAATAATAAAATAATGAATCCTCTGGGCAACAATCTTGACTCTGAAATTAAAGTTCTTGGTAGAGAAGTTGTTACTCCAGCTTAGAATTATGCTATACTCATATTATTTAGAACTGAAGGGTACTTCAGAGGACACCTAGTGTTGAATTATTCTCAACATAAGATCTAACTACATCAACCCTAAAAACAGTAATCTTCAGTATGAAAAAGGTGTATTGGCATTCAGAGGAGCAGAAACAAGAGAACTTTTCTGTAGTTCTTTAAAGCATTCATGTCTTTGAAGTACATTTTTGAATCAAATCCAAAATGTTGCAGTCAAAATAATCTATTTAAATACTTATAGTTCATGACACAGTATAAAGTATTACTATTATTATGGTTGGTCTCACAGTCAGTATTATATCACAGGCATGGCCCAGATTTTGATGGTTTTGATGTTTCCATGTTCAAATTTCTCTTCAGCCATTTTCTAACTCTTTGGATACATCTTTGGACACATTTTCTTCTTCTTCTTCTTCTTCTTCTTCTTCTTCTTCTTCTTCTTCTCTTCTTCTTTCTCCTTCTCCTTATTATTATTAATCACATAGTCAGCTGGATATTTAGACTGGATTTGGCATTTTTGCCCACCTATCAAGTCCTTTTCAGGGACCTGGGGTAGGCAATTTTCATTCATTCATTCATTCATTTTCTACAGTCACCTAACTCAACCAAGTAACTTATAATTTGAGTTACAAATTATAAAACAATTAAAAAACATTTAAAACAAAATAAATAAGTACAAAGAGCAGCTGTGATTATTAATTAGCTAATGTTAAAGCCAAGTAACAGGGCCCTTAATGCCACATTTTCAATATGTCAATCATGGCAGTTATGACTTATGGAAGTGACTATCTGTTTGTGATTATCTAACAAAATGAAATTCAATGTAGAGAAAAGTAAAGTCTTACACTTAGGTAAGAAAAACCAAAAGCACACATATAAACTGGGGGAAACCAGGCTTAATAGCAGTGACTGTGAGAGGAATCTTGGAGTCTTAGTGGACAATCAGCCAGCAGTGTGCAGTAGCAGCTAAAAAAGCCAATGCAATCCTAAATTGCATTAACAGAGGGATACAATCAAGATCAAGTGAGGTACTAATACCACTCTATAAAGCCCTAGTAAGACCACACCTAGAGTACTGCATCCAGTTTTGGTCACCACACTATAAAAAAGATGTTGAGACTCTAGAAAAAATGCAGAGGAGAGCAACCAGGATGATTAGGGGACTGGAGACTAAAACATATGAAGAACAGTTACATGAACTGGGCATGGCTAGTTTAGAGAAGAGAAGGGCCAGGGGAGACATGATAGCAGTATTCCAACATTTGAGGGGCTCCCACAGAAAGGGGGGGGGGTCAAGCTGTTTTCCAAAGCACCTGAAGAGCAGACAAGGAATAATGGATGGAAATTGACCAAGGAAAGATTCAACCTAGAAATGAGGAGGAACTTTCTGACAGTGAGCACAATCAATCAATGGAACATCTTGCCTTCAGACGTTGTGGGAGCTTCATCACTTGAGACTTTCAAGAAAAGATTGGACTGCCATTTGTCAAAAATGGTATAGGGTCTCCTGCTTGAGGGGGGGTTGGACTAGATGACCTATAAGATCCCTTCCAACTCTGTTAATTTGTTAAAAAATCCGTTAAATAGGAAACTCCAATATTTCTGAAGATCATCAAATTGGGGACATCTGCTATAGAGAAATCACATCTGCATATAAGTAGCTGCTGAATTCAATGGACTGCATGGTAATGTAAACAAATGTTAATACAACAAGGCAATCCATTACTTTCTTTATTAAAGAATTTTGCCGAATGTGTTTTTTACCCACCCCCACCCCCCGCCTCCCGTTTTGACAATTAACTCTCATTTGAACGCTAAAATCACAAAATAAATCACATGGTGGTTTACTGCAATCAGAAGAGGACTGTTCCAGACAGGACTTTATATTGGCTGAATTCATATACACTCTAAGCCAAGAATTTTTATTGGGTTTTATGGAACCAGCTTGGTGGCCTGCTTCATTTGCAAGTCCGAGCCATAATAGATTGCACAGTTCAAACACTGCACAAAATCAAAATCAAATTAATCACATTACGGAATATGTGAATCGAGCCTGAAAGATAATTGGTACCACTAGCATCCATGGAGGAGGAGAAAGGGGTCCAGATGACATAATCAAGCAAATGATGTATACAGTATAGATAGTATACTTTTCTAAGTAGTTACAACATACTACTTATCTACTTATAGTAAGAATAGTATCTACTCCTGTTAGATCCTGTGATGCAATTGCATCATTTTATTATTTTTATGACATCATAAGAGCTTCTAACAGATACCTAAAATTATTTAGATTCTATTTAAGCAGTAATATAGTATGGCCTGAATGTTAGACGCAGGCCAGGTTTATACACTTTGCTCAGTCATTTATTTTTATACACAAAACCAGCTACGGCGCTTTGCAAAGGATAGTTTATATTATAGTGCAGCACATGAATCCAGGGAACTGCAACCTGTTCAATAAAGCAACAGACACGGCTTCGGGAATCCTTGAACCGGACCCGAAAATGAAAAGCCTATCATCCGAGGCCAAACGCTCCCAGGAGCTCCCCAAAAAAATAAAAAAAATAAAAAAGACTGGCCTCCGAAGGCAGAGCCAGCCAGTCCCAGGAAGAGACCGGGAAAGGAGCCCGCTCGCTTTCTGCTCCCAGCAGCGGCAGTGCCGTAACTCGGTCACTAAGTGGCGCCAGATTTCGACGCTTCGCCGCCGAGCTCGTCGGAAAGTCGCGCGCGCACACACATACACACAACCCCAAGCCCAACACTTCGACAAGCACGCACAAAGCAGCTGGGCGAAGCTTTAGAGCAAGCTTCCTAGTGGTGTTTTTTTTTTTTTTTTTACTCCGAGCCGAGCCGAAGAGGAGAGGGGACGGGAGGGGGGTTAAAGGGTGACTCGGTTTACCCCGAGACGGCCGGAAAAGAGCGACGCAGCCCCTGACGGCGAAGCATTTCGGCTGAAGGTGAGTATAGAACTAGAGCATCCCGGCTGGAAAACTTGCAGGTGGCTTCGGCCGGCGGATGGGGCATCGCGCGCCCGCTTCGCTTTGGTCACGTTCTCACACTTGGCGGAGGGGCGGCTGCTCCGAGCTTTTAGCCGGGAGGACCAGGCGGGATTGGGAGGAGGAATCCCACCTGGTCGCCTCAAACTTTGCAGAGAATCCAACCGCTGGTAGCCTCTAGGCGTCTGCCGCTTGCTTGGCACTTCGGTTCCCCTCGCTCTGTGGCTCTGCGCAACGGCGTGGGCTGGTGTGAGAGAGCCAGCTCCGTTGCCCAACATACCTGACTAACCCACGTTGTCCCTCCTATGGTTACTCTCCCCGCTGCGTTTTTGAAGCACTTGTTTGTTTGGGTTTTGTTTTTTTTGTTTTTTTAAGTGGGTGACTGAGCCCGGTGTGTGTGTGGTGGTGGTGGTGGATATTCGTCTTCCCTTCTCCGCATCCTTCCACTCATCCTTTCTTCCTCTTTTGCCAGATGTACAGGATATTAGCCGTAGCGCTTTGGTGTTTTCTGCAAGCAGAGGGCAGGCATCCAGAGATCACCCTTCGTAGCAGCAGCAGCAGCAACAACAACAACAATGGCAATTTTTTGGACAATGACAAATGGCTGAGCACCGTGTCCCAATATGACAAAGATAAATATTGGAACAAATTCAGAGATGTAAGTTGTATTCCTGTGCCTATAGGTACAGTGTGTGCCTTGCTCAAAACGTATCCTGGGATATATATATATATATATTTTTCTCTCTGCAAGGGGCTCTTCCAGGGAGAAGGCATGGTTACATCTGCTGTGACTGATAGGATAGGAAGGAGGTTGACTGCCCTTTAAAAATCACCTGGGTTTTATTTATTTATTTACTTTGTGTGTGTGTGTGTGTGTGTGTGCACGCTTGTATGTGCGTGCTCACGCACACAAGCATGAGCGCTATGGTATGCTTTCAGATAAGTGATTAGTTTTCTTGGTCTTCCATTTCCATTGAAGACTTCCAGGAACTTTGCTGGTTTGCAAAATTAATCACTGTGAAATCCTGCCAGTTACCTACAGAACTATTTACTAACAGAACCCCCATCTTGGTGAAGCTTTCTGTTGCTGTGGGTGGTGGTAGGAGACCAGAAGCATGCTGTTCCGGGCAGTTGTGAAAGGGTTCAATTTTTTTCATTTTTCATTTTTTTTCAAATCAAGTATGATCATAATTCAGGAACACTTTCAAATATATCTTCATTTATAAGTTATGTTATGACACAGCATATCATTTTGTGGAAGGGCAGCAAAATATATTCTAAGTGAAACTTTAGGGGAAAATGAGATATCTGCCTGGGAAGAGCCTGGGAAGAGAATGAAATGGGATGGGTTTTGTTTGTATTGACTATCCATTAACAACAGTATGATCTTAACCACTTATAATTCCCTAGAAGAGTCAAGTCTGTAATGTTATGTATCCACTATAGGTGAGATGGTTTGTCAGATGAACAACAGAAGAGTAGTTGAGTAGTTGTTCACCAGAGTATTCTGACTACAATAGTGATTGTGTTGGATTGCAGTAGTTAGGTGTTCCACTTATCTGTATCATACAAGATCTTGTGCAGAGGCCCAGTCAAAATATTAAAATGGAGTCAACTTTTCTAGTTCTACTTTTAAATTACCATAATTACCATATTATTTTCCAATTGAATTGAGCTACAATATAATTCAATCTCCCCTGGTCATATTTTTTCAGTTTGGGTATATATTAAATGTATGATACATTTCAGGATGTATTAGAGGTAAAAGTATCAAGTGCAGTCCATAAAGTCGGACATGAATACTCTTTTTATAAAGTCCATGAAGTATAAATTGCAGCCTTAATCTTTGAGCAAAATTGAATTTAAAGATACAGTAGAAAGTGATTACTGTATATGCTTTGATGTCCATCTTTGAAATAACAGTATTGAGTTGAAACATACAATCAGATGTCTACTATGTGACAACGCGATGACATTGAAAGCAGCTTTAAACAATATAGGGGTATCTTTTCACCAGAAATGTTATTTTTGAAAGTTACAAAGGAGTCATTGATCAAATCTCATATAAAAGTTTTCAATGATTCAATTCTCTTTAGCCCATGATTACTTAGTCATAAATAAATAAAATAATGTGGAAAACAAATATAGACAAAGAGTTAACAAGAAGATAACCTCAGCAATAGGTTTAACATACTTCAGTGTTTTTAAGCTTTTATCAGGATGCAGACATGTAAAAGTATGTTGAGGTAAATATGGGGAAGGAGTAAATAAAACTTTCCACTACTATATTATTTTTCAGTAATCAATTCATAATTTATCTGTTCATGAATGCTTATCTGTATCTTAAACAACAAGAAGAAACAGATTCAGTTTTCTTCTAGTTTGCAAATCCTTTTGCATCTTTCCAGTTCCAGATCAAGAAGTAAACCTGCATGAGGTTAATTGGTAAAATAAAGATTCTGAGATTGTTTCATAAGCCTGCTTTGCCATCTGTGTAAACCAACCAGACACTATAAATTTGGGAGAGAGGCTTCCAGATTGCAGTGGCATAGAATGCCTGTCTGAAATGGTACCAAGGAAAGGTGCTTTTTCAAAGCATATTTAAAAATGGGTACAGTATAAGCTACTCTATTTCTTTCAGTAAAACGGTCTACACAGTTTATGGAAAATAATTCACTATTACTCATATGAAGAATATGCTAATATGCTGAACAGTGCTTACTGTTAGCTGTAGTCTCAACTGCTTCTTCTATAATGGTAGAGCAAAGCTATAATGGCAAAGCTGGGTATTATTTTTCTTGTGATTGCAGAAGCAATTTTTCTTTTGAGGTTGGAAAGAATAGTAGAGACATTATCTCCTGAAAAATGTAATGACTTCTGGCCAGTTAAAATGAACAATAGTTTGAGCAACCCCAACTCATTTCACTGGGGCTTATGTACCAAATATTCTTACAACATTGATCCCATTGTTAAATTACATTTTATCTCAACTGTAGAATGAGATGGAAAATTTGAGCTCAGACATGTTCTTATGAATACAAGCATTCCTTGACTTACAATGATTCATTTGGTGACTGTTCAAAGTTACAATGGCACTGCAAAAAGTGACTTCCAACTGGTCATCACACATATGACTGTTGCAACATCCCCACAGTCATGTGATCAAAATTTTGGCTTTTGGCAAGTGGCATCCAGCATCTTGGGGGTCATGTGATTGGCATTTGCAACATTCCTAGCTGACTTCTGACGAGCAAAGTCAATGGGAGAAGCCGGATTCATTTAATGACCATTTGATTCATTCCATTTGTAGTTAAACAGTGTTTTTCTTAACAATCAAGCAAAAATGGTGTAAAATTGGGTATGACTCATTTAACAATCACTTTGCTTAGTAGTGTAAATTCTGGTCCAATTGTGTTCATAAATTGAGGATTACCTGTATTTTTATTTGAACATGAAACACATCAAGGATACAAAGCAATCCAAGATGGGAGCAGTCCCATTTGTTTTAGGATTAACAGAACTTTTGGCTAAACTGTTGTCAGCCCTTTGAGGTAAAAGATACTGGACCTCTAAATGTCTTGGAAAATACTTGAGTTGGGGTGCTGTAACAGAATCTTGAAGGCCTGTCAAAGCTACTCTCTATTTCAATTTGTACTTAATCCAATCAAAATAGAATAGTTTGGAGCTTTCTACTTTCCCAAGTCTGAGGTATATATTTTTTTTAATTAGTTCCACATTCTGACATTCCATTGCACTTGTGTGTTTTCACTTAGTCATGTGAATTATCATCAATATTAAAAATTAAAGTCTCCATTAACTAAAAGTCACCCCTGGTGACCACCTGAACGAATGTAGTTTTTCATTGCTTTCAGAATATTTTTTGACCTCCCAGATTAGTTTTTCTCCCTTGGATTTCACAATGTTCTGCCCTCCAATTGTAAAGTAGATCTGATTTTACTTAGCTTTTTGAAATAAGGTAGTGCCACATGACAAGGAAACAACCATTCTTCTGGTCTCAGTGGAATATGGCTTCGTATTGGAAGTAACCGTTACACAGCTAATACAATGCTGTAGCCTTTTGCTGTTACTTTCCTGTGTCTTAATGAAAATAGTTTAAGAATTTAGATCTCTGGAATGAATTCCAATATTCCAGCTTTTTTATAAGTTGAAATATTTATAATATTTCAACTTATTTCAATTGAACAAAAGGAAAATACTTTGGCTTTTGGTGAATTGACAAAATGTGCAAGCTCACTCTTTACATGGAAGAGATAAGCCTTTAAAGATGGATAGAGGTAAATGGAAAATTACATCTTGACATTGAAATCCTGACCCAGCGGTCAAAATATTTTCTGGGAAAAATTATAAAGCAAAATGAAACCATGTTGCTAAAAGCATGTGCTTCATCCAGAGTCATTCACCACTCAACAAAAAAGGAGCTGCAGTGTCCAACCCATATATACAAAGGGGCTTTGATTGATGGTAGTGTCTTCCATTCACTACTATAACCCATTGCAGATATTTTTGCTTTTTGGTATTTGGAAGTTCATGGGCCAGTTTGGGTCTCACCACTCGTGAGTTACTTGTAGGAGAGAAGTTGGAGCTTTATTTAGTATCTCAATTTAGCAAGAGGCTGCCTCAACACAGTCATTGTTTCTATCCCATCAAACCTCAAAAGTACCCCGCCAGGGTCCTTATTGTTGCCATTTTTGAAGTTAACAATGCTCCCCATGAATTGATCAATGTTCCCTCTTGAACAAAGGGAATCTAAAAAGCCAGTTTTCAGTCAGTCCTCAACATTGCCTTGCTTTGTTTTCATAGTGAGGAGGGGAAAATCTTGGATCAATCCATTTTAAAGAAACATGGAGAAATAGGGAAAGAGGCAATTTAATTTTTGCAAAGGGAAAAGTGAACTGTTCAAAATAAAAATGACTGGGACATAGTGGAATGGCAACTCTTTATTTAATAAACCTATGCCATCTAGTTCCCAACTACCTTGACTTTAGCTGGACTGGAGAAGAATCAAGTAGAACGAAGACAAAAGTTTTGGACTATGGGAATCTACATCCTGCCCAGTCCAGCCACAATCTCTGAGGGAGATGGATGGTTTAGAAATAGGAAATATAAATAAGTTTTTGTAGGATTATATGTATTTATATCCAACTTTCTTCTAAGCTGTCAGTATACTGTTCATAGGATTTCTCCATTTCTTTACTTTTTTTAAAAGAGACATGTTGAGTAATTGGGCTGAGAGAAAGTAGCTGACCCAAAGGCACTCAGTGAGTTTCATAATCGAGAATTGATTTGAACCAAGTCTTTAATGCCACAAACACCCTTCCACACTGTTCTCTGTACTTGAAGTCTATTTTCTGTGTCACAGCAGAGTCAAAAGGTAATCAGTTGAACTGGAAAGCTCCAAGCACTGTAGAAAAATAGCTGCACAAGTGTTTTCCACTAGAAGAAGGAACTCATGAGACCATCATAGAAACCTCTAAAAACAAAGAAAATAGTGCTTTTATTCAACACATAAGAATTTGATGGCATGTTTTGTAAAAACAGAAAGGCTCCTTCCATTTGTGTGGCTTGGGTGAGTGCAAATACTTTCCAGCAGAAAGTATTTGCACTATGGATCAAAGAGAAGAGAAGCTTTGATCTGTT